TGACATGTTGGGCAGGACTGGACATACGCCCTTGTTAACTTTTGCAGTTCAGGAAAGTAGACTGCCTCGCGTACGCGTTAGATAGTTTTTCGAATACCAGCATGAGAAGCTAAAGGGCTGTCATGGAGCTCCTGCAGGATATTTAATCTAAGACTAGCTGGGATAACAGGTCGAAATTCGTTGTTGGAATTCGTAGTTTTTGTATAAAATAATAGACCATCTATTAGTTCGTAATGGGCCGCCCTATTTCTTATCGCCACAATATCTTGGTGGCTAAAATTTTCAGGATCCTTCAAATACTCATAAATACTTCCAAACTCAGGATCCTTACCCAGTTCGGTTATTACAGTTTCTCGGGAATTTATTGTACACGCTGTCAGCATTGCAACTTTTACGGTATTACCCTGTTCGTCTAATTTAATTCGTGACAGGGCATCTGCTACGATATTTTCCTTTCCGGGGGTATGCTTGATTACCAGATTATATTCTTGCAGCTTGAGTGCCCATCTTATTAACCTTGGGGATAAATTTTTCCCTGAGTACAATCTAGTTACCGCCGCATGATCAGAATATACTGTTATCGGCGCCTTTCCAAAATAGACTCGGAACTTTTGCACTGCTAACAGAACTGCAAGTGCCTCTCTCTCGGTCGCGGAATAGTTTTCTTTGTGTTTTGATTTAAAGTTCGGCTAAAAAATGCCACTGGGCTGCTGATTTTGCGAAAGTACCGCTCCTACCGCATAATCCGAAGCATCCGCTGAAATTTCTAAATTTTCATCCTTTTCAGGAAATTTCAACACAGGGGCTTGCGTTAATGCTTGTTTTAATTTTTCGAAAGCACTATTGGCTTCGGCCGTCCACGAGAATCTTGCCTTTTTCCTTTTTAATTTTAACAATGGCTCAGCGATAGCCGCAAAATCTTTTATAAAGGACCTATAATATGAACAAAGTCCTAGAAAAGAAGAGAGCTTCTTTGCCGTGTTTGGAGTCGGATACTTTTGTACAGCGATTATTTTTGATTCATCTGTCTCGATCCCTTTTTTGCGATATTTTGTAACCTAAATATTTTAATTCAGGGGCTGCAAATTTGCATTTTTCGACATTAACTTTTAGACCGGCCTCATTTAATAAAGAAAACACCTGTCTTAAATCCTGTACATGTTGGTCTAGATTATCACTAGTAATAATGATATCGTCTAAATAGATAAATGTGGACTTTCCGAGAACAGGTCTTAACACAATGTCCATGCATCGCTGAAATGTTGCTGGGGGCGCCTGAAAGGCCAAACGGCATTCGCAAAAATGCATAAGTGCCAGACTTGGTTATAAAAGCAGTCTTAGGCACGTCCTCAGGCCTGATCCCTATTTGAAAATAACCATTCGTTAAGTCTAAAGTTGTCATAAATTTGGTTGATTTTATGTTCCTTAAAATTTCTTCTATAATCGGTAACGGATATACCGGATATTTCGTTATGGAATTTAATTTACGGTAATCAATAGCGAATCTCCACCTTTTTGGATGCTCCAAAGGATAATCATTATTTTTCTTACATAAAACCACCGGACTAGCATAACTACTTGAGATAGGCGTTACGATCTTTTTACGTAGCATATCGGTAATATGCCATTCTATAATTTTTTCCTTATTCTTATCATAACCGGTATGGTTTTTTGTGACGAACTGGCAATGCATCTCCGGTGTCAATACTATGGTTAGTAACCTGGGTAAATCCTGGAATATCACTAAATAAGGAAGCAAATTCACTTACCACTTGTCGGATTCTATCTTGCTCGTCATTAGGCAGGTGGTCGAGATTTAACCTTGGCGGTTCAACCTTTTCTACACGCACTGGTTTCATCGTCAGCTTAAGAGGACGCTTCATTAAAATCCAGTGTAGCTTGTGCGTCTGAAAGAAAGTCTATTCCTAGTATTAAGTGTGCTTGCAAATTCTTTACTATAAAAAACATCACCTTTACTTGTTCGTCCTTGATACGGATGTACAAAGGTACTTTACCTACGCACTTACATTGTTCTCCTTGCGCCGCTAATACTGTTGTATTATCCGCATTATATATGCGGTATTTGCGAAAATACTTTCTAAAAAAGACTTCTGCCACACAGGAACACTGCGCGCCGGTATCCAGGAGTGCGGTGGCCGGGATATTATTTACCAAGACTTCAATCTTCGGAAGAGTTAAATTTTTTCACCATTACTGTATTTAACTTGTAGGAAGAGGGGTTTTCGTGGCCCTTCGGATTTCCGCACCCTCTCGTCAGCAGAAATCCGTTTTAGTTTAAATTATTTTTCTTTCGGTGCTTTCCTTCTTTCTTCCCACTGGCCTTGAGACTTTTTTCCTGGGTTGCTATTGAACTGTCGACGTTCGCCGGCTGTTTTTGAATGCTCGGGTTTCCTTGCCCACTGATTCGCTTTTTCTCTCCGTAGCCATGTGCTTGAGTTTGCTGTAGTCTTGGCGTACCAAATTGGTTTCGCTGTTGATATTGGCGTCTTCTTTCGACGTCCGCCGTTCTTCTACTTTCAAACTGGATTGCTAGCTCAAATAATTTTTCCAGTGTAGTCGGATTTCTCAATTCAATAAAGTCTTGCACTTGGGGTAGTAACCTCGGCAAAATCACTTGAATTATTTCAGGATCCGGACGGTTTCCATACAAGAGCTTGAAAACGTGAATTTTTCTTAAAATAAACTCGAGATGTTTTTTCCATTCTTTGTTGATATATACTGAAAAGTTCTGTTTCTAATTTCGCACGATCCCTTACAACAGGGAAGGCTTTTAGTAGGGCAGTCTTGAAATTTTCGTAGGTATAGGTGGGACTTCCTGCTTGACCCAAGAGACTTCTGCCGATACATTTGAACCAGTTAAGCGCTTGGCCCCTCAAAGCGCTGGTAGCTAAGGTAACTTTTTGAAACTCGTGCACGGGGTAGAGCATGAAGTGGTCATCCAATTTTTCCAAAAAACTGGTTACCTGTGAGTTTCCATTAAACGTTGCTTCTGGTTTCATCGAAGCGCGCATGGTCTGGACAATATACCCAAATCCTTCCAGGGCGGCAGCTGGCATTTCTGGATTCTGAGCTGTTTTCGCAGGCAGCACAGGTTCTTCTTGAAACTCGGCCATGGTTATTCTTCGTCGGGCGCCACTATCAGGTTCAATGTTTCTTCTAACCTTCTTCGGAAACATACAATGACCTGACTAGAACAGAGAGCTTACTAAAGCTATGTTCACTAATTGTAGTAAGTAGACAGGATACAGACGAAGGGTATACAAAACCCTTTATTTTTTCTTTATATACAATGACTTCCGTACTTCGGAATACAATGACCCTCCACTCGGGGTCTAACTTAAAAGATATCAAAATAAAACTAAACTCTAATTTAACTTTAGAATAAGATTGGCCTTATAATAACAGGAAGCGTATGTAGCACAGAGACTGTGAACACTACAATACGTTTAATTTATCAAGAGGATTAAAACCTCTGGCCTGGAAGGCAAAGTAGCAACTGCGTAACTTCTAAGGTAAGCGGCCTGCTTCGAACTCACGGCTTCCTCTCTTCTGCTTGGCAAAAAGGCCACACTTAAATACTTGGCGTTCGCCAGACAACTTTGCATAAACTCCTTCACGCTTATAATTCTGGCCGGAAGTAGAAAATAAGAAGTGATAGTAAAGATTTAAAATAAAATAAACGTTAGTAAAACTTAAGATCCTTACAAGTTATCCTAACCTTAAATACACAAGTTGTCAAAAGTAATTATTTATTTAAACTGGCATTAACGAAACATTTTTCAGCATACAGTGACGTCACATGCAATCGCATGCTTTCTTCAGCGTCAGAATATGACCTTAATAATAATATATTAGATGTTTGGCAATGTTATTTCAATCCGTATTTTATAAAAGTTAAAATATTTTCATTAACAAACTCTACGATTTGAGAGCCAGCAGTGGCAACTTCTCGAAATAAAGCAGATTTTTATCTCCAGCGTGCGAAAAAATGAGTGCGACAGCGTTTTCAGAGTTTTTAATTAATAGCTCAGCTGACTGAAGTCGTATGAAGATGAGAATAGTTGAAATGGCTTCCCACGAATTTTTGGAATCCGGTGGTAGTTCTCTCAAAAATCAACTCCTCGCAGTTCCGGAGGAAGTGATGTGACAAATAAACAGATAGACAGACTCGCACAGATTTTGATAGTACAGATAATGATGCTATGAAACACACTACTGAGATACAACATGTTAATATTTTTTCAATGCAGTGACATAATTGATTATTTGGATTTGGTTTTATGATTCAATGCTGAATTTATGCTTCTTGGTATATCAGAAGTTAATCTTTTTGGAGCTTAATTAATGTGTTTTGTTATATACATCTCCATCAGCACGTATCACTACCGAAGTTTAATTTCAAATGTTAACTAAATATTCAGTTATATGTTTTATAAAAGAATTTTAATAATAATCTAAGTTTGAACTGTCATCATTTATTATACAATCTTGAACTCAAATGTCTACATTCAATGAAATAGCAAATAGTGATATAGGTTTTGGACATGAGGAAAGTGATATTTCTAATACCACAACAAAATACTACTTGTGCATTAAGAATATCAGGTAAAAAAAGCATCCACTTAACGAAGATCCTTTTGCTGATGATTCAGTTAACTTCAAAAATTCTTCAAATTTTGTAACATTTTAAATATTTTAGTTCGTTAATTCCTTCTTGAAAACTGTCTTATAAAATGCGAGAGGAACATCAAAGTATAAAAGGACGTCAAAAGCCGTATCTACTTGGCCTGCTTTAAAACTAAGATAAATAAAGCCACACATGCATATTTATTCTTATAATCAAGATTGCCATGAAGAAGCAGCTGACAGGAGTTTAATTCAAATATACTGCACTTAAATTGTAAGTGAATATACGCACAATTTCTAACTATAGTGCTTATAAAACAAGAATGATTTAAAAAAAAAAGATTAAAACTTACGCTCATTTCTTCAGCAAGTAGGTGAGAGCAGGGTTGTAGACGCCATAGTTATAGGCATAGGGGTATCCCAAGGCATGAGTGTTGTAATAGGTACCATAGTATGGGAACTGAGCGAAGGCCACTGCCATCAGGGCCACCAAGACAAGGATAGCGAACTGAAAATTAAAGGGAAAAATTGTCAGAAACTTCTACCTAAACTAAGATTCAGAATTATAATTCGTATTTAATTGCATTTGATAAGTTTAAAAATGAAATATTAACCCTTCGGAATCTATTTTTTATTGCTAAACGTTTTTCGTCCTACATAATGTTTAGAATATGGTGCCAAATTTAAGAGAAACTTTCCTCATCATTGATATCATAAAACAGCGTTGCTTTTCAGTTTAACAAAGCGAATTTTCAAAATTAATCTAATCCACAACTTTTAATATTACTGTGATGCAGCAAATCTTACGTTATGCATTAAACTAATAAATATATTAAGTTTCTAAAAACATCGTATAGCAAGTCCGTAGCCCAATTTCCATTTCTGTTCACTGTACACAAAAAATAGAATCGTATACTAATGGTGAAATATAGTTATCAATCTTTTTTTTTATTTTAAAATAACTTTTAATGTTTGGATACATTTCATAATCTATTTACTATGATTAATTTCTTTGAGTCGTTCAGTGTGTAAGGATTTTAAGTTTTACTAACGTTTATTTTTATTTTAAAACTTTGTTATCCTCTCTTATTTTTCATTTCCGGCCAGAATAAACGCGAAAAAATTTGGTTTTGCAAATTGAGCGTGCAAACTGTTAAGTATTTTAAGTTGTGGCTTTTAGCCAAGAGAGAGTTAGAGAGAGACTTCGCGCTGCCTTACCTCGCACACGCTTTTCAGTCAATTGCTGTCTGCCTTTGAACTTAGTTCTCTTCGATACTTCAGACATATTGCAGTTTCCCGCATTCTGCTCACTACATACGTACAGTTTAAAAGGCCACTCTTCGCGTTACTAGGCTTTGCAAAGTATCTGAGTTTAGTCCTTATTTAATTCAGTTAGTTTTACTTCTTATTTTTTACGTTTCAGACTATAAGGCCTGTTCTTTGTATCCTGAAGTGAGGAATCGGCTGTACGCTGTGAGAAATAAAGGGTAATTTAACCCTTTCCATTTGTTCTGTACCTTCTACACTCGCATGAACATAGTTTTGAGTAAACTCTTTGTTACTACTCAGGACTCCAGTGATGTTTCCAAAGTTTCCAAAGGCTATTAGTAGAAGAACGAGTTGTTCTGACAAGTGGAGATCGACTTATAACTAAAACCATAATCAGACTAAGAACTGGTCATCACAGAGGATGGAAAATTGACAGAGACTGTAGGAAAAACTACAGGAACTGTGATAACTGCTTAGACACAGAACTGCCAGCTGCATACATTTTTGATTGTCCGGCCATACTTAGTGAATTGTTAAAAACTCGGGGTCTTGCTTAAGAGACATATACTCTATGATGATAACATTTTGGAGATTACCAGTCCTGTCACCTTCGCCTATGTTACTATTTGAATTGGCTTTATCATAGACACGACATTCATTTTCTCAATGGAGTTTTTATTGTCTTAAAGAGTAAAGACTTAGTTTTATCTTATGGCAACCGTAGGTAGTTTACAGTATTTTTTAAATCTACATCTGTAAGTTTTTTTCAAACAAAGATATGTATTTAAGAAAAAATTCTGTTTATACAAATAAAATTTTAACTGCTTATGGAAGAGGTCTAAAACGCGAAGTCTAAAATTAGCATTTTATAATCTATTTCATTACTTTTATTAATTTACATTTATAAAAATTTCTATATTCTATAGAAGGTTTACATCAAAGATTCGAAATTTCTGCCAATTTTTCAAAATACAAGGAGCAATTTATACTTACCAAGTAATGCATGGTGATGTTGAGAGTTTCTTACTCACTGTAGGAGACAAGAAGATATAAATTTTCTGCGATAGACAGCCCACTTTTATACTCAAAACCTCAGGAGAAAAAAATTTAACGATGATAAGAATATATAGTTCATCGTCAAGGCTAAGTCGCCTTAAATTTTAAATTGTCCTTAAAAGAGCAGGAAAAGGTGTAGAAATGACCACTTTTCTGTTTTCTTTTCTCCTTATGTGAAAAAGACGAAAACTGCTTTTCCATACATAATGAGTAAATAGTATAAATATTATGCTAACAAAGCGTCAGTTAATAAAAAAGAATTGTTGAAACTGCTTATGCTAAATACATCCTTGCGTCATTTGTCTAAACATTAATTAGTATTAAGCTTTCTATGCTAATTATTAGCACGGAAAATATTTATTCTTTATAACCTAATTTTGCAATGCAGTTTGTTTCAAACATCAAAGCAGCAATTTTTGCTACGCCAAATTTCTAGGATTAGGTTCGTAAATTTTAATATATTTTCAGAGATACCACAAATATCGAAAATTTCCGCGATTTCCGAAAAAAATTAATGATTCCAAATTTATCTTACTGTTTTTCACATTCTGCTAAGATTGAACTTTATATATTTGAATAATATCAATGTTTTCTTTTTACTTCCTTGTACGAAGTAAAAAGGAAGTATTGTAATCGCGAAAACCTTCAGGTAGCATATTTCAACGAAAATATCCACTTTGACCGCTTTCGAATGCAATTTAACGATGTTTTGCATGATATCTGTACGTAAGGACAGAATAAAAGACTCTTTTTCTCCAAAAAAAAATAAAAAACTGCTTTAAAATGAATTCTGAAGAGAATTTTTTGTGGAGTCTGTACAACATATGTATGTTACGTTCGTACAGACGAACGTATGTACAGACGAACGTATGTATAGAGAACGTATGTACGTTCGTACGAACGTACGTACGTAACTCGCATAACTCAAAAACGAGTAGCCTCAAGAACGTTGAAATTTTGTATATAGGACTACTATAACATGTAGATGTGCACTTCGTATTTTGGTTTCAATCGGCCGCGCCAAACGTATATAAATATATTTATAAATATATCCACTCTGTTACCCGGGCTCAGTGATCTCAGTTTCTTTACTCTTATATGTTTGTAAATTGTACAGTTTTTTTTCTTTAAAAATGATTGAATTATGTTGTTTTTATCTTCCGGTTAAGGGTTTTATGCTTTTAGTAAATCTGTATGCAATATTTTTAGAATTATCAACAATTTAAATGTTGTTTAAGTGCCGCTAAGCCTATTTTGATGGCGGCCATTGCTTGCTTACATTTGAAACAGCTGAGTAGTGAATTTGTTGCCAGTCTAGAGAAACGTAGCTTCGCAACAACAAAGATAAATGCCTTCATTTATTATTGCGATTTAAATCATGCTTAATCCTTTCTGGAATTTTTTCGAGGAAATAAGTGTTTAAGATTTACTTAATTTTTAAAAATTTAATTTTTAATAATTAGTAATTTAATTTTTAATAATTAGTAATTTTTAGTAGAGATATTTTGAGTTTTTGTGTATTTTTGCCTTATCGTGAAGTGAGAACTGAATTAATTGAATAAGAAATACTCAATCGTCTGTGAAAAATTGTTTCTTTTTTGATTTTTTGCTTAATTTCTTTTATACATCATTCTAGCTTTATTATAGTACTTGAATAGAACATGTGGCAACGATTAGATAATTCTTTAAATGATACAAATTTTGTGCATTCTGAGTTATAATTTAAACAAAATATAATACTGTTAAATGAACCTAGCGCCAGAGTGTCGCTATGGTAAACAAATAGAGTGAATTTTAAGGAATGACTTATTCTATTGTGGTTTATGCGCTGTCGGCGAAGTAGATATAATTAAATCCAATAAGTTTAAACAAAATGCAAGAAAAATTCCTATAATTTAGTATTTCGTACAAGGAAGTCATGTGGTGTACACATCAGATTTTTTAATAAAGCAAAAATAGACTGTAAGTAATCTTGTTCTAAAATACAAACCAGATCAAACCCCTGACTACAAATTCTGCTACATTTACAGTATACCAGAAAAGATTTTTTAAGTGGCACAGACCTGACTTCCGATCCCACTCAATAATAAATGTAATAAGCAATTTTATTGCTGAATAGTTTTTCCTAAGTTTAAAAATATGCCATTTCATGCAGGAGATCTGTGCGTGTTCGCATGAAACTGCCATCTTCCTAAAGAGGAATCCTCCTCTCTTCCAACGCCATTGATTATATCGGTAAAATTTGGTAGATTTACAAATCGTCGGCAACAAACTAAAATCAGCATTGTGCATTTTTTACAAAATATTTGGAAGCAGCAATGTGTATATTTTTTTAAACATATTCATTAGTGAAAAAAATTAATTGTTTTTTATTTGCGAAAAAATATTTGCATTGAAATTTTAGTACTTCAACTGAAAATAATATTTAATTAAATGTTTAATATTACATAAAGCTCACATTTTTGCGTTTAGGAAGTATTTACTACGTTTACAAATCATATTTGTGGTTAGCAATTCTTGTGAAAAGGCAAACATGTCACTCATATCGCTAACATCATATTTCCTTATTATAAGCTTTAATTTATTTCACTTATGGTATTTCACTGTTATTAAAATATTGTCACCGATTTTTATATTAAAAACTTACAGTCAATTTTACATTAAAAAAATTATTCACTAAGTCATTTCAGATTGTGGTCATGAAAAATTAGGAGAAAAAATGATCCTCAGTTGCATGCAAAATTCCAATTAATTTTCTTCTAAAGTTTCTGAAAATCTGTTTTCTTACATTTCACATGCTATAGATAAGATTTTGTGACTCTTAAGAAAATTTAGTTGCGGGTCTCGAAATTTCCCGAAATGAGGCTCTTACTGATCTGTAATTTAAACACCCCTGATATAGGATAAAAATAATTATTGCAGACTAATTTAAATACGTAATTTAATTTTCAACGAAAATTTATTTTTCTTTGAATCTAGTAATACAAGAAGTTTACAAAAAGTTAAAATGAAAAAATAAACGACAATTGGATAAGAGTATTTTTCCTCAAAAAAGAGCAACTTTTTTTTTCTTTATTCCATTTATGTTCTTAATTAGTGTTAAAATACTAGAAATTTAGAAAATTTTAAATGCCTTTAAAACGGGAAGTGTATAAGGTATTTCTACCGCTTCCCTACAGTGACATCGTGGTGTAGCGGTTTAGCACACTAATCCGGTATTCCAGAGGTTCGTGGTTCGCTTCCCGGCAAATTCCCTGCTAATTTTTCATCTCTCCGGCTTTTCCAATTCACCTAATGTCTCTACAACCCCAATAAAGAAACTGAGATGTCAAATGAAAAGCTATTGTTTCTTTTTTTTTTGATTGAATAAAAAGTATACGAAATAATTGATTATATCAAAAGAACTCTGGAAAATGTATGTTTTATCCTCCATTTTGATTAACTATTGAAGCAAATAAATTAAAAACAGCTTCACTGCAAGTGCTTCGAAAGGTTCAACAGATCGACACACCTTATTGAGTTCGTTATGAATACAACATAACCTTAAAATCATTAAATCCCAGTAGCTTGGAAAATTAAATGCGAAATTTGTGCTTGAAATATTTAACGCATTTGTTGCGGAAACGTCTAAAATTTATACGCGGAGAAAACTAATGACCTGTCCGTTCTACAGCTGAATGTACGTTTTCTGGCTGTTTTGAAATTATGAATGTAAAAACACCTTTCAAAGGCGGAAATCAAAATAATACAATTTTCATACATATTTTTTTAATCGGATGGATGTTTGAAAGTCATATAACTGTGTAATTAACGCAGTGACACGGGAAACTTCTCAGGCATTGAAACACACAACATATGCTGTTATTGAAATTACTTGTTATACTATATACAAGAACTGAATTTCAATTATATTCTGACTGCAAACCTTTAGTTATCGTCAACTGGTTGAAGCATGAAAGTGGAATAGCCCTTTGAATAATGGTAATTTCTGTCGAAGAGAATGACATTAAAATATACAATTCTTATTTCCCGCACTAGTATGTATTGCTGGATATTGCTTGTACGCAGCTAGTAAAAAATCAAATAATTACTGACATGAATAAAACTGTAGACATCAACGAGAAATAAGGCTAGAGGAAATATGAAATATCCTTCCGATTTATTCAAATTGTAATTTACATTTCCTTATAATCACAAAATTGTTATCACATTCCCCCAAAGTTTTTTTTAGGGATAAAATATCACTTGTATTTAAAATTTAGCCTTCGACGAATATTTTATTAAAAAAGTGTTTGTAAGAAAAACAATTAGGAACTCCGAAAAAAATATAGAGAAAAGGACAACATGGAATCCATATGTAAAGAATGTAAACTTCAGACATTCACAAAATCCTAAATTTGCGAACACGAGGATGACAAGATATGTTTAAAAAAATATATACATTCTGTCTTTTTGACATTTTAGACATTACTAGGTTTAAAAATTGGTGAATGTTGTGAAATTTAGTCAGTTTTCTTTTAATTGAAGCACGTGATTAAACATACTTACCAAGTTTTGTGGTTAAAGTATTATTAACAAGTTTAAACAACCTAATCCTAAACGAAGCAAAAAAATAAAATTATAATCGTATGAAACACTGTCAAATAGACAAACTAAATGCCGAACACATGTCAAATTTAAGATGAGTGTTTATTCTTGGGACCTGTATACCAAACATCATTGCCATTACTTCAAAAAAAAAAATACTACGTTTAATGTCAGTTTGCTTTTAAATTAAAGCACTGTAAGATTAATTAATGATGAGAATTAATGCTACGAATGAGCCTGTTTTATTGAAACCAATTTAAATATGTCGGCTTTATCTTCATTAATTTCAAGCGCAAGTCAGGTTTAAGTTGCAATTGTGTGTATTTATTTTTGATTAATAGCATAGCTGAAAATCCAGTTTTGGAGAGATATGATGGGTTGAAATCGCTTTATCCATTCGTGTCATCTTTTTAACCAAAAACTACATAA